TAGGGAAAGCTTGGCCCCTGGGTTGTGTGTTCTTCCCTGCTGCACCCTGCTTTTACTATTGAAAAAACAGACTTTGAAAACTACTCCTTTGTGCGATAACTCTTCTTACCCTTGGGAGCTGTATGTGTTGCTGTTGTCTTAAACTGATGACTGATTTCTCACAGGAATTGCTAATTAAGTGCACCTGAGTGGAAGTGTTTCAGTGCAATAGCATGCAGATGCAGCAGTGTGCACATGGCAGGTATTAAAAGGAATTGTAAATCAGGTAACTAAAACTTCCTGAACAGAACTGAATACCCTGAGAAGCCATTTATTACCAGTTTACTGTTCATTTTCTGCTACTATCTAAGATTAACTGTGGGCCTTCGCCTACGCCTGTTGAGGTGCGTGAGAATATCTCCATGTGCATAAGTGATTAGCTGAGCAGGCCCATGTGCTACTGTAGCTGAGAAAGAGTAATTGTGGGTCATATATTTAATTTTGAAAAATCACTGCTTTTGTGCAGTTCAATAACTTTCTATTTTAGGGCAGGTTAAGACCATGAAAAGTTTCTGATGGCAGTTTCTGAAAGTTATTTTGCAGTTATATAAAGCCAGTTACTGGTCAAACATATCATTAATAAATCTTTGTTAAAAAAAATCAAACTTTCAGAACATTTTGGATTTGCTGTCTTCCAATCTGGATGTGTCCTTGTAAACAGGAAGTTTGGCAATCTATGTGGAGAGACACATTCAATTTAGGAACAAATGAATTTGCATTCAGAGAGAATTCTTATGAGCCAGGTGACTTTCTAAGTGGTAATTGGGGATAGAAGAAAGTCCTTTCTTGTTAAGGTGAATTTATTTTCTGCTGTGGTTATTGCAGACCTGTTTCCAGCTTTGCTTTCTGAAAAGATTTCTCTGTACCCTGACCTTCTGCCGTAGCGATAAAATTGTGGTTCTTTCAAAGAATTGTACTTTGCTCATTTCTCTTCTTTAAAGGTTACCTTAGCTTAAATTGGTTTTGCTTGAGTACGTATCAAAATGAAATTTAGTAAACAAATGTAGCTGGTTTATATCAGACAACAGATTTCTTTTGTCCTTGAAATATTCTGGAACTGTTTTCTGTCTGCTTAAAAGAAACAGTGTATGGCACTGGAACAGAAAAATCATCAAAAAGTCATCAGCACTTGCTGGAAAATGGATTTAGCAAATATTTAACATTTAGTGGCGTTTTAGTGTCCAGTTCCAGCATAACCATTATCAACCAGTGGCATCTGTTTGTGTAAGGGGAAGCTAAGTTAGCACACAAAATAAAATACCATTCAAATGCCATCATTCATAGTTTTGAGTCTTCAGTGCCAGATATATTGAAATAGAGACCTCAAACTACCTGAGTAGGTAGCTTTTTTACAGTCCACTGAGCCTCCCCAGTCCCAGAAATCTCCCCGCTAATATGGTACCTGTTGGGCTGCACCTAATCCCCTCCATCCCTGTCCAGCTGTACAACCAGAAGTGAAGGGCATGAACAGAGCTGGGAGCATTTCTGGCAAAAATGTTGTTGAACTGGACAAGATGCTGAAGGGGGTTCACAGAAGCAAAGGCCAAAATTGACCTGAAACTTCACCCCATGTTTTGGAGCTAGGGAAAGCCCTAGGAGTGCCCGGGCACCAACCTGTTCTTTGTCCCTGCCACTCGTGGTGACTAAGAACCTTAGAGGAAAAATAAGATGTATTTAGTAATAGGGCTTATTGGTTCTTCTTGACCTCTTTACATGTTTTGTGCCATTCTTTTTATACTTCTCCAGCTGCAAATGATCCTGTATAACCCCTTTACTTCAGATGTGGAAAACAAGTTTGATATAGTACATTTAGTATGGATAATTATCACTGTGTGCTACACAAGATTACAAATTTGTCACACAAAAGGACGATACTTCCATTGGTGAAATGTGTAATTTTAACCAGCATTTTTTAGTGAAGGTTTGTGATAGTATTTGGGGGAAAAAAAAAAAAACAACCAGTAGGGAAGATTTTTATCATATGCAAATTACCTTGCAGTAAAGAAAAAAACAAAGTGAAGGATTGTCATGGGAGCAGTGGGAATTAAATCATATAATACTTTTTGGGCATGACTGAGATAAGCAATTAGTGTGCTATGGATCATTAGGTCCAGTAATAACATGTTACTTTGAAACCCTCTGCCTTTCTCCTATTTCAATACAATGTGTTAGAAATACTATAAGCTGCTTTGAAGTGTGGCATCTTAATAACTGAAATAATTAAAATCACAAAGAACAACTTAACAAATGAAAGATGTATTTAGTACATCACTTTCCTGCTGCAATATCCACTGCATTTGATATAAAAAATCCCTGAACCTTTCCCAGTGCCATCCCTGTTTCTCCCAGATGCATGGTTATTTGGATATAATGAGGAAAAAATAATTAATTGTCAATCAGGAATACAAAATATTTCATTCTATTAGGATTCTCAGGTACATTAGATCTGAGTGTAGATCATGTCCTATTCCTGTGCAGGTGCAAGGAAATTTTATGACCTCTCTTTTTAAAATGGAAAGGAGATCTGCTTAATGCTTTACAAACTAGAGTCAGTCATTTGCAAGTCTGTTGCATGCCAGTGAAGAATGATTGGAGCTGGCATTACAGAAGACCATTTCAGCCTTTGATCTATTCTTTTTTCATGATGATGCTAAGAGAATAATTTCACCTATAACTTTGTCCTGTTCTCAGTTAGAATACACCCAATGCAGTCAGCTGAAGGAGACATTTTGGAGCCCATATGATGCTAATAAGAGATTTGGTTAGAAGAGTGAACCATCATGATGCTTTTTAAAGTTTTATATAAAACTTGGGTTTTTTTAAAACAAGTAAGAGTTTAATGTTCAGACTTTGGACAACTTTAAGTCAAAAGCGTGCAGGTCTGATTTTTAGTGCCATTCCACACCCCACCACCAGCTAAATAAATAATGATCTTTCCTGAGGTAGAAATCTGTTTGATTCTTCTGTCTTCTGTCTTTGATGCTCATGAGTGTGGACACTTTCTGAGGAAACTGTTTCTTTGTGTTACAGGTCATTAAGCTACGGTGCCATAGGAGTAATTGTTGGTCATGAGTTTACTCACGGATTTGATAGCAATGGTGAGTATTTGTCCATATGTTGATAACTTTATATTTTTTTTAACAGAGTTGACAGATTAGAAAGCTGAATTGTATATGCTTTACCTTTTAATTGTTTTGTTTTTTAACAATGCTGAATTGTGTGAAAAAAAGTATAAAGTTGTATTTTTTTATTTATTTACATGCAATCTTTCTTGTCTGAACCGGATTTTTTTTGGTAAGGAATACCACAAGTTTGACACTTCCTGATCATTTTGAATAGAAACTAAATCAACAAAAGATTCAGAAAAACCTGGTTGGGGGGAGTGGGAAGGGCAAAGGGATAACTTCTGAGTGATAAAAATTACTTCCAAGAAAACTTTTCATTTCAGTTTTTACTTTTTCCAGAAGACAATTACGTACAAATACTAAAAGATGATACTGGAACAAAAGTGGAACAGAAAATGTATTGCAAAATATTAAAAGAAAAAAAAAAAAAGAGAAAGAAGAAATGGTCTGAAAAAGTCAAACTAACCTGACTAACCTGAAAACCTGGGTGGAGTGGGTCATTACCACTGTCTAACTTTGGCTATCTCAGTAAAGTGCTTTTTAAAATCAGGCTCCTGAGAGAGAAACACAAACTTCTTCCTCCAGGGAGCAATTCTGAGTGTCTGACTGACATCCCACTGTGACTCATTGTCTGGAGAATCCTCTTTCCACTGAAAATACGGGGAGTTTAAGGAACAGCAGGCTTCTAGCTCACTGCCTAACTGAAGCTATGTTGCTTATGTTGCATTACTTTGAATACCTTTTAAAAAATAAAAGGAAACCCCTGTATCCTGTTGGCGCTGCTCCACAACATTTTGCATAAGCAAACACTCCTGAATAGTGGAATGTTTCTTTATAAACTCCCATCTGCCTTACCACTTCCATATCATACAGATTATGGTGTAGCAAGTACACCCACACTTGAGTATATAGTTTGATTTGATAAAGTTGGCTTCTGGAATGGACCTTCATTTGAGTTAATCGTTAAGGCATGGTTAAGAGGCGCTGCTACAGAGGATATTACAGCACTTGAGTACTGGCTGATTTTTTCATCCTGCAGTGTGATGTGGAGGACCTGGACTTAGTCTTCAGTGCTGAGCCAATGTTCCTAAAAGTCTGGCAGTCAGGTCTTATATAGCCTTTTGTTGTGGAAAGATAGACACAAGACATGTTAGGACTTTTTTGAGAGCAAGTTTAGGTGCCCATGTGGATGCAGCTTTGCTCTGTGATTTGATTCTTCATTATGGCTGCAGGAAAGAGAGGTAGAGAGCAGCCAGTAGACATGATACCAAGTACTGAAGATATTTTCTTTCATCTTTTTATTTCTTTATTTTTTCCCTGTCTGTTGTCCTGTTCAAGATGACAAATTCCCTAGAGATGTCTTTATTTCTATATTTGGAAGGTAAGAGCCTGGGCAAGAGATAGTTGTCTGGTTAGGGAAGCAAACTTAGGTTCCTCTCTGACCAGCTGGAGACATGATGGAGATTAGATATTCTCCTACAAATGAGAGGGAGCAGGGACCTGAGGCTGAATCTTCCATCAGCCATTGCTGTAACCGTCAGCCTGGGGAATAGGATGTATGTATTCTCCTTCTTCCATGAATAGGGTTCAAATGTTCTGGTTTTGCTCCAAGGCAAAAAACGAAAACTTCAGAAGTTTCTGTGAAATGGATTTTTTTTCAAGTGTATAATTAATTAATAATAACTCAGTTATCGTCCAGTTTGCAGAATCAAAGACATATGGGCTGAGGTTGAAAAATACAATTATACTTACAAGAAATCTCATATGTCTCTTGCATTATGTAATTATAAAATGTACTATAGCACTCATTAGTCATTACTGTTTTTTTCTGAAAATGGATATTGTGACAATAAGTAGAATGTCAGTTTGTCACCACTGACTTGAGTGGGATCAAGATTTTGCGCATCAATCTTATCCATTTTGTACACACACTTGCATGAGTACATTTACCTCTCATTTCTGTGCAGATTCCAGAACTGAAAAAGTATGGGGTTTTCTTCTACAAAAACATTTGTTCTCTTTCTTTCTTTTTTAAGGTCGGAAATATGACAAAAATGGAAATTTAGACCCTTGGTGGACAACTGACTCTGAAGAAAAATTTAAAGAGAAAACAAAATGCATGATTAATCAATACAGCAATTACTACTGGAAAAGAGCTGGCTTACATGTATGTAAAACACCAGTGATTGAAAGCAGTAGTGCTTTAAGGTTGGGGTTTTTTGGTTGTTTTTTTTTTTTAAGTTTTTTTTTTATTGGGATATTAGGCTACCAGCTTCATTTCTCACAACAAATCTTTTTTTTTGGAGTGAATAATTGTGATAAAAATTGTCTGTCAGATTTGATTAGTCCAGTCAAATACCACTATCCACAGCCTGGTGACAGGGTTAAACTACTTCTTCTCATCACATCATATTGGAATCAGAGGAAGAAGATGAAGCCACTCAGCAGGGCCTATCTAATTACTCTGAGCATGTTAAATGTCTTCTGAAGATATGTTCCATAATGAAAACTGAGCAGCCACTCTTTTTAAAAAGAAGACTATAATAGCATGTTTTATAGATTCCTTTAGCAATTCCGCCTGTTATTTATTACAGCTATAAAATGGATGCATAAACCCTACTTTATTTCACATTCATTCAACTCTTTCTATTTCTTCCACGTATGCACGCAGACCCAATTTGTATCTCAAATGAAGGAAGTATGATAGCAGTAGCTCATAGAAAAGGACTGAGAAAGAAAGTGCAAAGGAATGGTTTCTGTTTCATTGTCTATCAGAGTTATGGGCTTGCCTGAAAATTTGAACATTATGTAAGTGTCCAAAATGAAGGATAAATAAGACAAATCCCAGACCTTCCGAAATCAATAGCTAAAATTCCAGTAATGTTGGCTGGGACACGATTTGAATCTTAATTTTCAGGAAAAAACACATGCCCCACCCCCTACTCAATTCTACCACCTCTACTTACATTTTAGAATCAGAAATACAATTACAACTTGGCCTTTCAAAGAATAGAAAGGTCACACTGAATGCTTAGCAATAATTTTAGCACCTTCCCCAGGCTGTTTGTATTAGTCTCAGAGATAACAAGGCCATGCTGTAGTCCAGTCTGAAGTCCAACAACTCAGAGCTGAAGTACTTCATATGAGCTAATTTACAAATAAAAATTCTCAGGCTCATTGTCGAATATCTGTAGGACAAAAACTGTCAATACAAAAATGCCACTTAAAGAAGGTCATTAAAACCTTTCCCAAGGCTGTGACTGAGCCCTTCCCATGCTCCTGCCATTGGCTTGGCCATCCCCCTTACCTTCTACAGTGTCTCTTGAGATGGGGTAGATCTGAATTTCCCTCCAGTGTAGTTATTGCCTTTGGAGTCCGTGGATGGGCTTACTAGAGAGATCCTGTTACCCACAGCTTTGTCATCTGTAGGGCTTTTTCCTCCTATTTCCGTGGGATAAACTAAAGCACTTTTCAGATGATACAAGAAGAATCTTGGTATTTTCTGCCATATTTTATAGCTTCTGTATGAAGAGCTATGCATACAGAGAGCTTTTTTTTGCCTGCCATTTACATCAATATTTGTATATTCTGCAGGTTTTTCATCCCTGTATGAATATTTTACATGGATCAAGAAACCTATTTACTCTTCTTCTTTCTCATTCAGTTTACAATAAAAATATCTCCAGAAAAGAAGCATAATGAAAGAGACAAATGGATGTAGAAATAGCTTCAGAGTGCAGTAATCACATAAAATCATCTGATCAAATAAAGGGCTTATCATGGTCCCTGAGCCCTGTCATGAACTGTCTGTACAGAGTAGTCTCAGAAACCTGACCTGAGATCAGCAGAAAAACTTCTTCTACTTATTAAAATGACCTGTAGCCCAAATGCCACTGCTTTGTTACTCTCATCTTATGCTCTAAATCAGTCTACTTTACAAGCCCATTTCAAGAAAAATGTGTGAGTAGGTAGACCAGAAAAAAAGCCAGCTGATGTGTGTGCATGTTCCCTGGTGTCCCACCATCTTTCCTCCTAAAAACCTCTCTCCTACCTCCATCTCCAGCCTCTTGAGGGGAGGGAGGGCTGGAAGGAAAGGGGTGCACTTTCCTCTACTGCTCCCATTTCTCCTTTGTTACACCCTTGGGTGTATCTTGCATCAAGCAAGATACCTTGGGTTCAGTCAGGGTGCTCATCTGTACTGAGTGATGGGGCTGTGCACACCTAGCTGGGTATCCCCTAGGTCCTTTTACCTCTTCTCCCCCATTTTCCCTGCTTTTACCATCCTGAAACTAAGGTGGGTCCTGACTCCAACCCTCCTATACTCATCCCTGCGACATGGGAGAGCCTGTTATCTGAGGATTTGCAGGACAGCATTGACCTTGAGAGGTCTCCTCAAAAATGTGCTTAATTACCTTGCTCATTCGAGGCATAGTAGATAGTAAAACTGCTTAATTACAAATACAGTTTGATAACACTAAGACCCTGGTAGGTTAGGTGATCAGAGATAATGCTGCTCTTGCAGAAATGAGGGTTTCTTCATAATGATATTGCACTTGGTAATACCAGGAGACTGGCTTTTTCAAAAAGTTTAGATAGCACTGCTTCTCACAATATATTCTTGTTGCTATTGCTCTTGCTCTTGGAATCAATACTGGGGAAACATGTCGTCAATCTTCTTTGCAGATATTTTTAGAGCACTGAATATACTATCAATTTCAATTCTGTCTCTGACAGTTATTTTTAATTACGCTGTATTATGTTATGACTTAAAAGTTGTTTTATCATCCCAGTAGTGTATAAAGAGTTATGTAGAGAAACAGATATAACCTTTTAGATAAAAGTTTAAGAAAGGGGCTACTGGATCTCACATGTAACCAGAGCAAAACAGTCTTCAGGGGAAAATTATTGATGTTCAGATCAAAGATCAGGGACTGGATTCTTGAGTGCATTTTATCTACTACATTTTGTGCTACAGAGATCTAGTACCAGAGCCAGGATAACTCATCACAGAGAATTGTTTACTGACAGTTTTCACATTGAAACCCAGTTTTCTTAACCAGAGATATGATGGTTGAAATTGGCTGAGGTCATTCTTGCCTTGTGTTATTTTTTCCCCTGTTCCTTGAAGTTGATCAAGAAGGAAGTTCAGAAATGGGTCAAATGACTGATGTTCTTTCATTCTGCCAGGTGAAAGGCAAGAGGACTTTGGCAGAAAACATTGCAGATAATGGAGGTTTGCGAGAGGCTTTCAGGGTAAGTAGATGAAAAATATCTGAAACATAGCATTATTTTAAAAAGAAAAAAAAGAAAAAGCTCTAAGGCACTTTGAATCTCTTTCTTATCAGGCGTACAGGAGATGGATTGCAGAAAAGAGGGGAGGGGAAGAAGAGCCCTTACTGCCAGGCCTTGAGTTCACACACAACCAGCTTTTCTTTCTGAGTTATGCTCATGTGAGTAGTACAAATGTGTTTCAAGTCCCTATTAACCTGCACAATGTACAGTGCAGAGATGAGACTGCTTCTTTTCAACAGTCTACACCAGCCAAACCCAAACTTTTAAGGGTATAAGCAGAGACTTCTTCTCCCATGACTGTTATTTCTTTTCTCTTTCTTTGCCCTCATCTATCTAGTCATGGTTCCAGAACTGCTGAAATTATTCTTGGTTTTGCACAGTGTTGTCATGGCAGCTCTCTTTCTTCTTGCTGCTTACCTCCACTGCAAGGCTCTTCTTGCACATTATTGACTCCTTAACCTCTTTCTGTTTTAGCTTCCCGGTTTTCTGGTGCTTGTCATATGCAGCAGCTCCTGACTGCTTCCACCACAGACTCCTGTTGGAAATGTAGCATCACTATTTGTTACTGAGTATGTTGGTCAAGGAAACTAAGCAGCAGTGAAGAAAATCTTATTTTTTCCCATCTTTGTTTGCTGTACACTAAATATGGTGTAGTAAAACTTTGATAGGGGATGTGAAGTTTTTTTATAAAAACCTGTAGAACAAGGGAGAGAATGAGAAATTATTTATTTGGTTAAGAGAGTTGGGACAAACTCCCTATATGAGGAGTAAAAGTTGGGCTATAAAACTTTGTGCACCAGTTGAAGGAATGATTCATCTAAAACTGAAGAAACAGAACCCAATGCAACCAATGCAACCAACCCTGGCTGAAAATCATTGCTCTGCCAAGAGTCAGTGTAGTAGTGTATGGCTTTATGGCCACTTAAGTTTGACAATATTGACCAATGAAAAGACTCCAGTTCTGTCATTTATGCTGAGCTGAGTTTTACACTGTGTCAGTTTTTCTCCAGGAAAACTTTGAAGCCACTGGAAGATCTGGAGGTCTTACAGGACTGCTGCAGGCATTGTACGTCCAGTGGACTCTCTGAGGGGAGGCACATGCACAGTGAGAATAGTGTATGCCAGGTACCCTTGAGCTCAGCTTGTTTCCACAGAGCTTAAGACACTCAACAGACTCACTCAAACTGCAAGGGCTGTCTTCAACCAGACAAAATTGCATTGAAGTTCACATATCCTATGGGCAGCCTGTCTGTGCTGGTTTTGCCTGGGATAGAGTTAATTTTCTTCATAGTAGCCAGTATGGGTCTATGTTTTGGATTTGTGCTGGAAACAGTGTTGATAACACAGGGATGTTTTAGTTACTGCTGAGCAGTGCTTACACAGAGCCAAGGCCTTTTCTGCTTCTCACCCCACCCCACCAGTGAGCAGGCTGGGGGTGCACGAGGAGTTGGGAGGGGACACAGCTGGGACAGCTGACCCCAACTGACCAAAGGGATATTCCACACCATATGACGTCATGCTCAGCACATAAAGCTGGGGAAAGAAGAAGGAAGCGGGGGAAGTTCCGAGTGATGGTGTTTGTCTTCCCAAGTAACTGTTACACGTGATGGAGCCCTGCTTTCCTGGAGATGGCTGAACACCTGCCTGCCGATGGGAAGCAGTGAATGAATTCCTTGTGCTGCTTTGCTTGCGTGCGCAGCTTTTGCTTTACCTATTAAACTGTCTTTATCTCAATCTATGAGTTTTCTCACTTTTACCCTTCTGATTCTCTCCCCCATCCCACTGGCAGGGAGTGAGCGAGTGGCTGTGTGGTGCTTAGTTGCTGGCTGGGGTTAAACCACGACACTGGCTTAAAGGATTTTGTCGATAAGAAACATTCAAGACAGGGGCTTAGGTAAGGTAGGGGCTGCTTAAATGAGATTTTTCATGCAGTGGATACTGTATAAGAGGGATTATTTAATTGTGCAAATATTCTCTCTACCCTGTTTTGTGGTCAGTTACAACTGGGTCAAGTATTGTATTAGGAATAGTGAATTTGGGACCACTGATGGAAACTTGAAAAATGTGTAATTTCAAAAGAAACTGACATTCCAACATGGAACAAATGTATCAGATAATATAGCTGCAATTCTAGGGATGATAAGCATCATTACATGTACCTTTTATACACATTACATAGCTTCGAGACCAAGAAGTATGCTTGGTAATTATTAAGGCATGAGATGCTGTAGCACAAGCTGCAAAGCAAGCTACAATTATAGAGAACCTCAAAAAAAGAATGAGTAAAGTGGCTATGATTAGACGATGGGAATGAGTGGGTGGAGAATAACAGTGGGTGGAGACTGGATCCATTAAGGGGTTTGAAAAACAAGAGAATATACTAACAGAAAACTGCAAGTTAGCAAAGGCGAAACAAAATAGGAGTTTGTGGTGTCTTTCTATTTCATGCATTCTGTAAGTAATAGGCATCTTAAGAACAGTGACATTACATTCTACTTTACTTCCAAAGTCATCCCAGACAACGTGCCTATTTCTGCTTTTTATCTTTTATTAGGTAAGATGTAACTCCTTTAGACCAGAATCTGCGAGAGAGCAAATATATATTGGAGCTCACAGCCCTCCTCAGTTCAGGTAGTGCAAATAATGTATTTACTCGGTATACATACAGAATCAATCACTGTAGCAGACAAGTGCAGAAATTTAGCATGTTAAGAGGGGTTTAAGAGCAAACACAAAATCGGACTGTGCTCTTTGGCTTAGATTGAAATGGAACTGTTTTTATTAGCTTACCTTTCACTATTACAAATGCTCTTCTGCAAAAATGAGGGGCTTTTATCTACCTTCAAAAGCAGCTGAACCAGAACACATTCTGATCCCTGTGATGTTCTATAATCATAGCCTGAGTATCTAAAATGTCTAATCTATCACTTCTTTTCTATGCAATTGTACTTTAGAAAACAATGACTATTAGGAGGGTCCTTGACTTAATCTGCCTAAGTTAATTAAAAGCTTTAAAGTGAGTATCTTGAATTATATTGATAATGCAAAGCAAAACACGCCCTCTAAGTTCAGCTCAAGACTGAACTCTTAGTTGCCCTTCAAGAGACACTTTGCTTGAAGGAGCTGTGGTAGCCCAGCTGTAGCGTCGTGTCTGTGTCCTTGCCCAAAGGGCTTCCCACAGGCTTTCCTAACCACAGACACTCCTGAACCTCAAGAAGGAAAGGCTGGAAAAGGAGGAAGGTTTAAAGACTTCGTAAGAATTAGGAAGCCAGAGTTTATTTCTCTGCTTCTCCACAGAGTTTGTGTGACCAAAAGCAAGTCGTTTTCTGTTGGGATTCATGTTGGTTGTATTTACTTAACTAAGAATTGTGTGTTTGTCCTCAGTCAAATGCTACATTACCTCTGTGTTTGGGGAAAGGGTGTTAACTCCACCAGCTGATTCATAACGGAGGTGTCTCCAATACATGGGATTAGTTGCCTTCTGGAGATTCCTACTGCTTTCTGTTGACTAAAGAGGGAGCTGGGATCCCACCTTCTCCACAGCTAAATTTAGGCGATATGAGCCCCACTTTGCCTCAGTTCTCTCTTAGTAAAGTAAAAATAGCAACACTGCCTTCACAGGGGAGTTGTGAGGTTGCTTCATAGGTACTTTGACATATTCCCTTGACACGGCCATGCCAAAGCTGAAGATACAAACATGGCATGCATAACACACCTTGGGCTACTTATAACCAGAATGGGTTAAGAAATAATGGAACTGGAAACACGATGACACAAATTAAATGTAAGCTAGCATTGCAGACATTTATGCTTGTTCTTGGTAGACTTCTGTACTCTGCATTGAAACCTGCACTACTGTACCTTTGCAATACCTGTTACACCAGCTAGCTAGGGTAAAACTACTGCAGTATGCAAATCGGCATGCCTTTTAACGATTGAAAGTACATCATGACAATGAGGACAGGAGTATCAGGCCCATCTTTAGCCTACAGAGCAACATATTTTTAGAATTCCTACTCTTGTTAAGATTTTGGTAAAATAGCCATCTCTTGCCTTTTAAAGTCCTCAGATTTATTTACCTATATGTATATTTATATATTCTGAATCATTACATAGATACATTTTCATGAGATGGTGCAAATTACAAAACATACCAGGAAGCCTGTGGATAGAGAATTCATGAAGAAAACTCATGAAGGAATCAGGCTAAGAAAGAAAATTCCAGAGAAGATTAGAAGAATTTGGGGTCTAGAAAATACAGACAAAATGTTTTCCTAGTTTTTGTGTGAGATACTCAGAACAGGCTTCTGTTTCAGACCTGAACAGAAACTGTGGTGCTTGTCTCTTCTTGGAAATCATATCAACTGGGCTAACAAAGTGTACTATTTCCCCCAACTTTGCTTCATTTATGTCCCAAGACCATTATAACAGCATTACAGCTAGTTTCAACATTGACAGCTCTTGCTATCCAAAAAGCCCAAACAGCCCTTTTTTAAGTAATTATAAAAAATAACTATAAAAGATGATAGAAATGAGCAACACGTATCCTGAGCATAGGTGTGTGCATCTGAGCTAGTCACCCCAGGTTCTCTTCACAGTCAAAAAAGAATAGGCATTTTGAAATTGTACATGTATATATATGTAAATATATATATATATATGTAATCCTGCTGTAAGCAATAAATTTGGATTGCTTAGACTCTGCAGGTACATCTTTCTATTGACAGCCAAGGGAGCCCAGGGTGATCCGTTCAGGGGAAGGTGTCTCTAATGTAGTTCAGTGGGATGAAGTCCAGACAGCCCACTCTGATTCCACAGTTAATGTGTGGCAATATCAAACCATGGGTAGAAAAGTCACATGCATGGACACAAAAAGATCTTTTGCTGGCTAGATTCTGGTTTTATTTATTTTTAATTGGCAGATTTTCAGTATTAGCATGTGTCTTCACTATTTTTGAATGACGATTTCAGAGTGAAATCCCTGGCATGGCAGGCAGAACTCCCACCAACTTCAGCAGCAGTTCTGCATGACCAGCTCTTGCTGTTCTGGTCCCGGAATATGTATTCGCAATGTTTTTACAGTAAAGCTGTGTATCTTTTTTGAAGCCTAACATAATTTTGCAATTCTCCCTATAAAACTGACCTTTAGACATTTTTGCACCAGCTCACTGCTAATTTTCTTACCCACAGAAAGTGTAATCAATGTAATAAGAATGTTTTCCACCATGCTGAGCTACGCTGAGAAGCTGATTGTCTGCAATGGAGAAAAATGCCTTCCCACTGCATAAGAAAGAGAGTGGAAAGGCATACAATTAATATCTCAGTAGATACTTTTCTGCTTTTAACTCAGGATGCTGTTTACTTTAATACAATTGAAAATTTCAGGTTAGTAAATTCCAAGATACTTAAAAGCATCGGAAAAATCAGCAAACACCACAATCCCAATCTAGCAATGGTAAAATAATAATTTCTGACAGCATGAAATAATACAGACATGAAAGCAGGAGCCAAGGATGGCTGCATACAAAGAGCGAGCTCTTCCCCTATGCCTGAAGGTGCCAGTCTGGGATGCAGACACATCGTCCAGCTTGTGTGAGGCAGGGGTGTGCTGCTCTTTCAGTACCCACCACCTGTGGTGGAAGCCAGAGAGCTTGGGAGCTGCTCAGGGCAGAAGCCTCAGAAAGTCTATTTCCAAACTGCCAAAAGAGCTGAGATGCTCACTGGTGTAAAGCTGAGCTGGCCAGTAAGAGAGGCTCTGCCTGCCCCCGCCCCCCACCAGCTTCAGGCTGCAAAGTCCCAGGGAGCCAGCGTGTGTGGGCGTGTGTATGTGGGTGGGCAGAGGGTGTTGTGACTCGAAGCCGGCTGGCCTGAGCCAAATCAAATCACTTCCAGCACAACAACATGCCTACATGCTCCTGCCTGCTGGACTGCAGCAGTTTGGCAGCTGCTGGAAGAAGAATTCCACCATGCATGGCTATCGCTGATCCACCTTTGCTGCCAAGGGTTGGATTAGAAAATGGTTCTAAATGACATAGTATCCACAAAAGGCAATTGGTTTTGGCTGAGTTTCTAGCAAAGTAAGATGCTTCTCAAAGCACTGAATGAAACAAGATTGTCTTCACATTAACTTTAAATGGGAGTTCTTCTGAACTTTTTGGTTTTATTTGTGGAAAAATGATATGGGAAGCCTGAGAATTCAACCTGCAGTGAGCACACTGAAACACTTACAGGCCTGTAGTATTTAACAGAAGGCAATCTGCATGTCGATCACTTTTCTCTTTGCAGAGTTATTGGTGCCATGAGCAACTTTGAAGAGTTCCGTAAAGCTTTCAATTGCCCAACAAACACGACGATGAACCGAGGGGCAGAATCCTGCCGGCTGTGGTAGATGTCCCTTCCAGGTCTTCTGTCGAGAGAGGTCTGCAATGTGAACTGCCGCACCTGAGCTCAAGCCCACTGCTAGAGTTTCAGAATAATGTTCTGCAATCTGGAGAGGTGTTACTTCAAATCATCTTTCTTATCCATGCTGATAACATGCATGGATCTAATCACTCTCTATCCAGAGCATAGAAACTTTTGAAATAGGAGGAGAGGATAGGTTTTCTTTACTAATAATTAAAAAAAGGAACTCCTTTTATCCATAAAGCTACTCCTGTTAATCTGCAGTTGCATTGCTGTTGATCAGTAACTGCCATTATCAATTCTAATTCCTGATTTATAGTTGAGCAAGAGGTAAATGCTAAAAATCCAGTTTTAATCTATTGCTCTGCAGGGGTATTATGCAGAATGCTCCCACACAAAATTCATTCTTTCTGGATGAAGAAATTCATGAGACCTACTATAAAGCCATCTCTGATCTGCTGTGTGATACAGCATTTTCGTAACTTAAACTGTTGCTGCCCAGCATGCCATAAATGATGTTGCATGATGTAAAGACACAAGACTTTATACAAATTCGGTTTAATATGTCAGATTAGTGCCTCAGGTTTTGGAACAGTTTCAAGCTGAGAAAGCACCTCATGGTTTCCATCTGCTAGGACTAAACAGAAAGGATACTTGTCAGATCCTGGCCTTTTCTAATTTTAGAACAGCTTATGATAAAAATCAATGTATGGTGAAAATCGGAGGCTTGCAGGGGGAATTACCAGCACCATGATGCTCAGAAATATTACAGCACTTATTCCTTTTTACAGTGTGGGCAGGTTTTTTTTTCCCAAGGGGTGATTTTTACCTTGTGCTGAAGATAGCTTCACCTACATTTATTTTTAAGCCTGAAATACTATACCAGTTTTAAGTTAGGGATTTCTTAGTGTCTGGGTCTTACAGAGGAATGTAAGTAGTGTGCATGTTTGTCCTCATATTCTGGACAGGGCAGGGTGACTTGTGATTTTAAGGAAAGAAGACTATGTGACTGAAAAACAGAGTACCAGCAGCATTTGACTTGTCTGGATAAAAAGAGAAATTCAGGAGTAGAGGACTTTTAAATATGTGCAGGCCAGTTGAGTTTTTCACTTGATATCTAACAATATTCATAAAAAACTTTTTATTGCAGCAGAAAAACTTTAACACATCACTATTACTAAGGGCGGAAAAGCCAAAACAGCCCTTTCTTCCCCCATGGAAAGATAGATATTTAACTGGTATTTATTTATACCTTATGCATTAATTCATTTTTACGTGTTGGAATTGTTTCAAATGGAGAGAGAGTTTCTTTAAACTGATTTAATTACTGCAAATCTATATAAGTCTCTATGTGTATATACTTTTTTATATATATGCAAAAAATACATAAATTCTTCTATTTGCTTACATTTTATTTTATCAGTATAGAAATGTTAGTAGGATAAACTTTTTTTACAAGGATTGGTCAAATATTTTCCAACAGTCAAGGAGGAGGAAGGTTCAACTGAAGCTAAGTTTTTGCAAATGGGGTTAGTTTCCTATGTTTCTTTGTAAAGAAGGGGGACATCATGGAAACATAATTTATGGAAGGAGACAGGCCCTCAAGCTACCTTCCAGAGAGAAGGAAGCTGAGACTCCTGAACTCAAGGCACTGTTGCCACTTCTTAGAAACAAAATATTATGTTTTGGGACCAGGACTTTCTTTTTTCAATTTTTCCCTGAAAAAGTCAAAGTTTTCTTAAGAGGAAAAGCACTTTTGCTTCCTTCAAGCCAGCTCTATTCCTGAGTTCCATGGATTATAGTTTGTCATTTGAATTGCCACTACTAAATTCTTTTCCTGGAGATATTTTTCACTTAAACATTTTAGATGGCAATATTTTCTTAGAGACTTTCTTCAAACAAGCAGGTATGGATCTTGAGCAAAGTGATACTGTTTGTCTACTAATGGGAAAGTTCCTTAGCAGATTGAGTACTGTACTGAATTCATTCCTGTGCTTATATGGGCACTGACATGACTTGATGTTCGCTGCTTTGGATCAACAGCACTAAGTTCAGGGGTGACACCCTGGCCCCATTAAAGGTAGTACCAATACGGTCGTTGTCCTCAGAAAAGTCAGGACAAAAACTCAAACACTTATCTGAACTTTCTAAATTACTGGACTATGCAAAGCCGGTTTCATGACAGTCAGCTTTGAGTTTTCCAATTTTATCTCTCAGGTCAGAGGTGCATTTGCAAGAGCTCCTCTCTCATGGCTATTTTCCAGTGGGGTAGATTCTGTCATTTTGTGGTTTATGGGATTGTTTCTCTGTACTGGATAGTGATTTCTTCTGAACTGCCTGATATTCACTGCCTTAAATGCCACTCTTGCTGCTCCTTGCTAGGCTCAGCTCTTTCATGTTTAATACCAAGGATTTTTGAACTGGGGTATACATATTCCCAACAGCACAGGAACCACTGCAAAACTGTCTAATCCTTGCTAGGGCACCTCTTGCAGCAGGCAGGGGGCCAGGTCCTAGGCTGGGGGCATAGAGGGGAGCTGGAGGGTTTGGGGGTGATGCACTAGGAGGGAGGAAGAGAAGGCATGGCCAGATTTTTGGACTCTGGATTTAGCAGTTGAGAGGGGGCCTACACACTGTCATGAAAGCCAGAAGCCCTTGCTGCTGACCAGCACATTCATCGGTAGTATCCAAGTTTGAGGAATCCTTGCTGTTGGCTCGGGTTTTCAGTGCCTTGGGCTTAGGTCTTGCATACGTTGACATGAGGATCCTGGCCTGCCTTGTTTGCCCACTTTTTACCTCAAACCAAACAGCTGGTAATGCAATTTACAGTTCATGTTGGAGTCAGCTATTTGGGTACCAGTTGGTAAACAAAGCAGAAGGTAATTAAATGCATTCTTAAAACTTGGTCACCAAAGACAGCTAAAGCATAGTGATGGTTTGTGAGGTCTTGTCCCGTTGCCTCTGTTTTATGAGACTCCCTGGCCCTGCTTTGTTTTCACATTGTGCCTCCTGGGTCTAGGCTAGCAATGCCTTGCTGTGTTGCTATCAGGCTCACCTACTACATCTATGCAAACAGATCCTTCATCATATATATTTTTCTCTCAGAGCTTTTAAATTTTTTTTTGGTTTTTAAATTGCCAGTAATTGCGTCAACACTCCTTTTCCTTTAAGCATATTGTGAAATGTTCCTTCCTGTTGGCTTGGTAATCTCTTCCAGTGATCAGGTGGGGAAGGATCACCTATGAACAAAACATTTTTACCTGTGCAAATTTGGAGATACTTTTCTACTGTGTAGACATAAAGAAACAACCCCTACTCCTGTCCCACATCCCCTTCTTTGGGTCCTGAAAATATGTAGACCTTCTTTTTATAGCCAAACCCTGAAAACACTAAAACACCACCTTATACACTGTGGGTATTGCTGCTGATTGCATTGTAAAAGAGTTAGCTTTACACACGAGTAACTCTCTGAAAAGGCAGCTGTGCTATTCACCTGCGTAAACTGCTTAGGTATATAAATAATGTCCAAGCTGGGTCTGGATGCCGAAGAACCAAAAAACCCAGTTGCATTATAAAGCTCTGCCTCATGTCCTGTGCAGGGGGACTTCAGCATTCTTTAAGTAGGTACACTATTATCACACTAAATGTTTGAATTATTTATAAAATAATCAGGTGTGTTTATGTATAACTTTTCATTGGTTATTATTCAACAAATTACATACTTAGAAGTATATCTCATAGCAATGCTATATATATACGTCTCCAAAGAAATATTTAATGCCTGACAACTCAAGAGGCAGAACTATAGTGAGTTAAAAGGTCTTTTGTGTTTATGTCTTTTTAATCTGGATTTTTATTTTGTTAGTCAGTCTATTGTACTTTTAAATTTTTCTTATTGCATAATATGTTGATTGACTTTTTAAAGACAATTGTGTTAGCCAATAAAAGCCAAAGTGATGAAGAATTTTCCTATGCTTGCAGTATGGCAAAAGCTGCTTGGCCTGTCACTGTCCAATTCTACAATGTTACTTTTGTAATATATAGTCTTTATAAAATGTAATAAAGAGCATAATGGCATGGTCCCAGGTTCTCAAGGCTACTGTTACTGCTTCACAGCCTAAGAAGGACCTCCTCTCTCAAACTCATCTAGTCATCTTCAGCCAGAGTTTATTAAACTCCTCCTGCCCCCACTAATCTGCTGGAGGCAATTAAAATGAGCATAGGACAAGCTACTGTAGGTGAGGGCTGGATGCTGCAGAAATTGCAGAAGGGCAGGTGGCAGAACTATCCCAACCAGAAGCCGCTAGAGCATAAGAAGGAGTGGGAGAAGATCCACCTGCCTGTCAGCCTCACTCTTCTCCTCTTGCCCCAGTCTGTTCCTGTCCCAGCCCACCCTTTGTAGCCTCACCCATTTTTCAATTGCTTTTAAGCATTTTCCAGAAGTGTTTCCAACAGGATAAACTTAGCGCCATGCCTGAGTTTGAACTGCAGCTCAGCGACAGCAATTCCCAGCCGGCACAAAGGAGTGGTTTTGCTGCCTTCCCACCTCAAGGCAGCATGATGCCTGTGAGCAGTGAGGAGCAATTGTACCCCTTGGGGACGACGGCTGAAGTTGGACTTGACGCATCTTTTGAATGATGCTCTATGGCGACACAGCCTCTCAAAGCCTATAGGTTTGTGCAGGCAACTCTCCACACAGCTCTTGGGTTTGGGCTGGAAGGGGGATTTTATCTTTGAAAGCCTGCATCAGTTCCGTCACCTACTTTACTGTGCAGCTTTATCAACATTTCTACGGGCAAAAGCAAAGGTTTGCGTGGAGCCAGATGAATGAACAAAGCAAAGGTTGGGGTTGGAGCATGAAACCAGCCTCGGTAGAAGGAAAATGTTTTGCTTAACTCTCACAAGGTTTGCTGAGCTTGCTGGCATCTTGGAAAGATGCTTTAACAATGGCTGTAGATTGCCCTGAGGAATTCAGGGTTTATCTGC